TTTTTTTTTCCCCCCCCCCCCCCCCACCTAGAAATTTTTCTGCGGGCGCCCATGGCTAAATCTGGACACGGGAATCATAGAATTAGATCAGATATAGAGCTACTGCGTGAAATTCGGATGGAACGAAAAAAAAAGAAGTTCACGGGGGTTATCTTAGTAAAAGCTCTAGGACAAGGATTCTTAACCTTTTTTCTGCTTTGCAGGCCCACTCCGTTTTTAAAGTCCCCACCCCCCACCAACCGTGCCGTATAAATTATGTTGTAATAAAATTAAAAATAATAAAAAAAATGTTGTTACCAAAGTTTTATTTCTTTAATTAACGTTTATAAACAATGGGAAAAATTACGAATACAAGCAATGCGCTAAAAAAAAATTCACCAGAAAAATATTTACTGCAGCTAATCAAAATTTTGTTAAATAGGCTTAACAAAAATGTTTCCATAAAACTTGAGAACTTCATGAACTAAGCAAATTTTAACAAACAAAAACAAATTCGCCACTGCTCGAGAGCAAGGAAGAAAATGATTCTCCGACTTATCGTATATGTCTACTCCACGATTATTAACAGTAAGTGATATGTTCAGCGGATGTCGATTTTTATCAAAAATTTTTGTTAAAAAGTGTGATCTATGTGTGAGTATATTAGTACGGATACTTTAAAAGATAAATTTGAAAAATCTTTGCATGTAAACTTGTATTGACAAATAAATTTAAACAAGTAAAAAGTAGGCTAAAAAAAGTGAACCCTAAATACTAAATGCTCCTATAATGTGAACTATGCATTTATCTGTTACTGCTCAAGCGTTTAGTGCACCCTGGTTGAAGCTTAATGTTTGTTCCCTGATAACATTTTTTATATTTTATTCACATTTGAATCTATGTGTTCCCACTCAATTTAAATAATGGGTTTTTTTTTAAATAACAAAATAATTATGTAATGGTCCATTGCCGACTTCCTAGAGTCATTTAATGATGTATGGCCCCTGCTGTGCTGAGACTAATCAATAATTATATCAAAAAGTTTCCCAAGCCTAGATTATCTCATTACTCTATTTGCTTGCCTTTCTATTCTGTGACTGAGAGTCCCTTGCTATACCTGATGACTGGAATGAAAGTGATTGTTTTTCTTTCTTGTCGGTGGGCTGTGCTGAAGGGGCTGAACCCAATGGTGGTAGCCTGGCAGGGCGATTATTCACAGGTAATACTTTAGTTGGGTGAGATCTGGTCAAGGGCTTAACAGCACTACTTTGATTCACTGGAGGTGATGTCACCTGCTCAGGTGAAAGAGGTTTCAATATCTGCTTCGATGATGGGGACAACTGAACATTTTTAGTTGCCGCTGTTAGTGATGCCTTTTGAGCATTAGAAGGAGATCCCTTGACCAAAGTTACTGGCTTCAACTGAGAAGGTTTCTTACCACCATTAGATTGCTGTGTGGATGCTGTTAAAGATGATGAGGTTGGGGACTTTGATACCAATGGATTTCCTTGATATTTCTGTTCTAATTTAGTTGGAGATTTAATGGGAGCTAAGGATGAATTTGCAGGGTTTGATTTAGGAGAGGTCTGCCTTGTCTTGAGAGATGTCGGTTTCAGTAAAGAGGATATACTTTTAACTTTGGAGGTTGGCATTTCTCTGGCAGCTGTATGGGGAAAATTAGGGGAAACTACTCCATGGTTCATTGTACCTGTACCATTCTGAGAGAGTTGTTTTTCCTTAGAAGATGGAGTCTGATCTTTTAAAACTTTGATGCCGTCTGATGATCTGACACTTTGATTTTTAGATGTAACTAGTGCTTTGGGAATATTCTCATAAATTTTTTTCAACATTTCATCAAACTCTGGCCCTTCCCATTTCATCTGAACAGACTCATCCTGTAATGATAAGAAATAAACTGACTTACATCAGTATTTTTCTCAGTTTTCAAATATATAACATGTTAAAACAGTCAAAATTTGATTGATAATATAGAAATATTGATAAATTTAAATAAAACTATTAAATTACTGAAATATAAAGTAAACCCCATAGAAACTGGGTACCACTATCAAAGGCTTCCCTACACAAAAACAAAACAAACAAAAATATGGTTTCAATCATAGTTTTATAAAAAGAATAAAAAGTGAAGCCCTGCTGTACCGGGTAACAGCATTTCTACAATTTCTGTTCATTTCATTGAATTCTAATGATATTTATATATCTTCATCTTATTACTTAAAAGTTAACATAATAATTTTAAAGATTTTAATACATAATTTTTCAAAATGAATCTAAACTGATCATTCTCAATCTAAGTTTTTTTTTCAAAGTGTTGAATTTTCTAAACCAGTGTTTTTAGAAATATTTCCTGTAAGCTGTGCGCATATGCAAAAGAGAAAAAGGTGCGCACAGCTGAAAAAGGTCTGGTAGGGAAAATGGCAGAGGACATACAATGTTTAAAACTATAAAAAATCATTCCCACACATAATGCACTTTGTGTATTACTTTTGTAATCAAAATAAAGTGTTAAGAAAATGTGTAACTTGTTTGTCTAATGTTAAATATTTTTTGTCCATGTTGCACACAACAAATTTTTGCACACAGAGACCAGAAAATTTTAGAGAACATTGGTTCTAAGAATGGTGAGAAATTCTTTAATATTTCTGGATAAATTAGTCTAGAAAACAGTAACCATGGTTAAGAACTTTAAAAATATATTCTTTTTTTTTTATCAGAAGAGCTGCTGGTAAAATATAAAAAAAATATTCAAACCTTAGAGAAATTAATATATAGCAACTGTGTCAAGACCATGCCCATAGGTCCAGCTGGTGGCCAGGTCCTCTGTTCCAACAGCAGTGGGATCAACGGTTTCTTTAGTGCATCTGCCAAACTGACCTCCCGCCGGCAGTTGGCGGAGAGAGCATATTTCTGCGTGACGCATGAAAGCACAACCTGGCAGCCCCGCAGGCCCCTGTCAATTTTATCATACAGGGAATCCCCTCCTCCCATTTGTTTGATGTCCAACCAGCAGGTGAGACCCAGGGATGTCAGGCGTTCATAGAGTTTTATAATGTTCTTCTGTTTACCCCACTGGTACGAGATGAATACATCGGGAGATTCAGATGCCTGATCAAAGATGAAGAGACACTTCAGGTTAATGCTCATCATTATTATCAATCAAGCTCACTGACTTTAACACTATTTATAAGGTTTGATTTCAAATGTCCATTAAATTATGACAACATTACAAAGGTGAACTTTTCTTACTTTTTTATCCAGCTCTGACAGTCCTGTTTCAGAGACTATTCCACCATTGTAAGTTTTGCTCTTGTTTATTTTAATTTCTTGTACAACAGGCATCCACCAATTTTTGTATTCTGAAATAGCACAACATGGTATGATATGAGTTCACTTCTGTGACATTTGTTAGGTACAGGTAGTCTGTTGGTAGATTTCATCATCCTTAACAATACATGTCATTCTGATTATTTACTCAAATTTATTTACAATATTTTCTTTCTTATATTTTCTGACTGACACTGTCTTATCCGATTGTCATTATCTTATCTAATTCTCAAGTTACTATTAATGTCATAGCTTGAATGGTTTCTATTTTGCTGAATATTAATGCTTGCTGCTACGAACTCTCTCCATAATCTGACAAACAGCACATTTTGGCTCAAAATGTCTAGGTTTTATTTCGCAACACATTAAAAACTTGATGCACTGTCCGTTTTTCTTCTTCTTCATTTACAAAGTACATCGTATACAAAGATCTAACAGTGAGTAACAGAACTTAACACACTAACCACTCCAATGAAAACTCACCATGACCATGACTATAAATAATAACTCCACAAATGACCGCCACCCTGTGTTCTCACAGCATTTTAACATGTCACTTGTTTACTGACCTTGCATGAACTGACCAATCACAACTCACCTTCACAAAACTATTCACACGCTCATGATCGACAACTATTCCATACACAAACAATCACGCTCACAAAACCAGTTCATAACACTATCATGATTTTGAAAAGTAACTTTAAAAAAAAATCATAAAGTGATAGAGAAACTACTCTTCTAATTATTTTCAAGTGAAAACAGAGCTTATCTTTCTTTATAACTAGAGCAATTAGCCTCACTTATTAAACCAAAGTTGTTGTTTTTTTTGCCTTGAGAACCCTAATTTCATGCAAGTTTTCCAAATCAATAAATGATTAATTAAATAAACACACACACACACAAACATAATTTTTATATTTTGATTCATTAACTAGTCTCTAAGGTTACCTGGCTGAACTTTGTGTTCCTTAGGTGCCACACCCACCATACTGAGCTGCATGAGAAGCTCCTGAAACTTGTCCTTGGACCAGTACCTCTGGTCAGCCACCTCCTCTCCAGCACGTTGAAAGAATCGAATGAATAAATATTCGCTAAAGATTGGACCCATTGATCCAGGAGGTGGCCATGTGCATTGTTCAAGGAGCAATGGGATTATGGGTTTGTTCAGACCCACAGCCAGGTTTACCTGGAAAAAAGTGAAATGAGTGTACCGGTAAACAAAAGTTAGCACTGTTAAAAAATATGTGAACATTATTTATTCCTTTGAGTATTTTTTCTCTTGGTTTTAAATTATACCTTGACTAACTTTATCAGGCCTGCACAACTCAAAATGTAAGGCAGGCCATAATACTTTATGAAAAACTTGTGCGGGCCAAAAGAAAATAGGTCAGGGGGAAAGCTATTAAGAAAATAATAAGAATAAAGAATATTTCGTTACTTCGTGGGCCGTAAAGTGGGTACAGTATGTTGTGCAGGCCTGCTTTACATTTATAATGAAAATTTATTATTTTTACATAAATAATCTGTATTTCCTATTTTGTGAGAGGGAAAACTATTTTGGAAAAACACATTTTTAAAAAAAACACTACCTGCAGTTGAAATTTTAAAAAAAAAATAAACATTGAAGCAGCATGTATTTTAAATGAGAGACAAATGAACTCAGATGTGCATCACAAACATGCACTCTCTTGACTCACCTCTCTGTTACAGTTTGGAGACTTGGAATACTTGCTTGTTACACAGCTGAGGATTACTTTGGCTGCTCTAATCCCAGAGTCAATTTTTTCAAACAATTTGTCCCCACCACCCATCTGACCAATGTCCAGCCAGCATTCGTAACCAGCCATTTCCAAATGCTGTTTTAAGAGTTTGACCTCAGCCTGGTGTCCCCACTGATAACTTAAAAAGATGGGGGGTGGGGAGGCATATTCAAAGGCTTCATCCTCAACAACAGCCTCTGGGAAATGATAAATTGAGCAATTAATTTCTTTAGAAAATAGTGGAACAAGATACGGTTAGACTAGAAATGAAACTGTTCCACTATTTCCTTGAGATGGTTTGAACTAATTTCTTAAGACTGGTATTTACTTTGACCCACACATATATAAAATCAAACAAGTCTTTGAAAGCAAATAATATTTTAAAACATTAAAATCAAAAACACAATAAGAATAATTTGATTAGAATAATCATTAAGTCAAAGCTGACTTGGCAGAAGAGTGTTCAAAGAATAGCTCATATTCCAACTTAATTAAACAGGATGTGGACATGGTTTCAACTTCAGGACATGTCCCGTGTTATGATTATTTATTGAAAGAAATAATTAGACCAGGTGTCTTAACTATTCAATATTTCAATATTATTTTTATTTTTTATTGATTGTAATTTCTTGTTTATAAACCTCACTACATTCAAAATAAATTGGTTGAAATATTTTCTAACAAAGGAAATGATGCTGATACTGTAAACATTATAAAATATTAAGTTTCTAAACCCAGGCAAAGTGGGGACAATTTTGGGGAAAAATGGAACTTCTATATTGTACCATTTGTAAAATTAAATTTTAAAGCTTCAAAGATATTTTTCCTTTTGAATCATTAATTTTCTTATTTTGTTGAAAGAAAATAAATTATCTTGTTAATGTTACCAGCATTTTTCATGGCATTTTCCACAATAATTGCTGCATCTAATCTGTTCATTTCTTGTAGCTGACTAAAAATGGACAGTGTGGCTTCACTTGTTTTATGAGTGGCATACCTGATATTGGATGATAAGATAATAAAGTGAGATAGAAAACAAATAAAAACATGTACATTTTCACAACAGTGACCAATTAATGACACAAACTACTTATAAATTAGTATAAGAAAATTATTTTAAAAAATATAATGTTTCCTTTTTCTGGTAAATCATTTTTAACCAGTATGCAAATTACCATTCATTCAGCATAGCCATGCAGGGGTCAGCTTGTTGAGCCCAGCCCCTGATATCATCATTACTGTACATGAGTCTTTTGCTCAGGAGACGCCAGTCATGGTCAGAAGTTGGGTTAAGGAGCTTAGAAACATCTCTGGCCCAGAATGGAGCATGACTTAAAGTCTGGGGAAAATTAAATTTAATAATGGCCACATTTGATTAACTTGAATATACAGCTAATTTGTTGGTTTCAGACAAGATTTATGTGGTGAATCTTTAGCTCTATAGTTAGTTTTATACAATTATTGTAGGTAAATAATTTAATGCAGTGAATTTTAGGCCTATAGATTAGTTTCATTTGTTATTTAAGAACATGGCAATGTTACCCTGATTGTCAAAGAAACAACCAAACCTGTCTTTATAAGATATGGGATCTTTGGAAAAATAGGTACATTGTTATTCAACATTACAACTTTGTACAAATATGGGATTTTCCATACGGGAGCCTACACAGAGCTCTATTAAACCAGATTCTTCCCTCTCACTGGACCAGTTTCTATTCTGTCATCTACCAGAGGCATTTATCTGACACTGATAACCAATGGTTATTTATTGGTCATGCAGCTTAAGTTAATCATTAGATAGGATCTAAGATAGCATCCAAACCAGATATATAGATGCTGTATTCTGGTCACAAGCCATTTCAGTAAACACATCACATATCTTTGTGTCAAAATTTTTTTTTTTTTTTTAAATCATCAGTGTTTGTTTAGTTCATTTGAATTTTTCTTAGTATTAAAAAAATGTTTCTTTTAAGAAGTTTGTGAGAAATTATCAGTACTTTCTTTTTCTAGCGTTTTATGTCAGCCACGAGGTCCAGTGATAATAATAACCATTCTGTCTCTCATATACCTTCTGATCAATTTCCTCCACTTTGGCAACAGTTTCTTCCACTGTGACTTCCACTTTGTCCAAACGTTGTCCTTGTTCCTTCACTTCAGTCTTCACATTGTTCAGTTGGTCTCCCTGCTTAGAAACATCCTCTTTGATTTCAGTCAGAATCTCTTCTGTTTCATTAACTCTACCAACCAAACTTGCCAGCTCTTCTTCTTGTTTTTTCAAATTTTTCACCACATCTTCAGAACTAAAGAAAGTTTTTTTTTGTGTCTTTTTTACTTTATATTGACAGTGATGAGTTAGACAAATGTTAGTTTCCATGAACCATTAAATATTTTAAAAAATTAATGTTTTCTTTCTAAACTTAATTAATAGTATAGGATTAAATTATATTTTGAAGTTAATCAATTTTAGTTGATTTAATAATTGGTAATTTTTATTTCATAACTAATCATATACCGGTAATGACAAGATTTTTTTTACAAATTAACTATTAACAGAATGTTAAGATATTGTTAATGTCTAAGGGAAGCTTATAATAAAATATTATTGATGGTTATTTTTAAAAAAGTAATAACATAATCATTTTAAATGGAGAAACAAAAAAAACAAAAACACTCACCTCTTCCCATCAATCATATCAAGTATCATCTTCTTGAGCCCAATAGCATCAGGATCTGTAATATTAATGGCATCCAGCTCAGCTCTTCTTGGCTTCATCAAGTCCATGTGTTTGAAACATATCAGTCTCAGTGCATTAAAAGAAGTCAGGAGAGTAGATTTGTCCTGGCTGGTCTTTACATTGTGAAACAAATAGTTCAGCACTTTTGGTGCCACATCCTGTAAAATAGCATTTAAAAAAAGTTCATTAGTTCACAGAGTTATCAATAGATCTTTTTGTAATAAGCCCATTAACAGATATGTTGTTTTTTAAATTTCTTAAATTCTTTATTTGGGTTTTTAATGGTTGTTCAGATAATTGAACATTAATTTTAAAAAAGTTCCCGATAATATATTTATAAAAATTTTAATCTATTGTTTTTACAAAAAATATATATAAGAACTGGTCCAACTAAACTGCACTGCAAACACTAACCTTTTGATACAAAGCCAAAGATACCAACATATCAGTGATGAAATAGCTGACCATGGGACTCCATGCTGTGTGATCCAGTAAAAGATCCAAATGACCAACCATGTCTTCTGGGCATCTCTTGCTAAGTTCTTGTACAATTTGTAAAATCATGACTTGAGAATTGATACTTTCCCTTGCTTTAGTCAGCAAAATTTCCATATCATTGGCAGTGAAAAGCTAAAATTATAAAATGGAATGTTTATGCATTTGTGTGAGTCACAAAATCCTACTAATGGTGAGTTCTTGCATCATAAAATATAAATAAATAAATATAAAAACAAGTATTTGCTCTATTAGAGCATTAGAAGTTTAGCTGATCTCTGACTCTATTATTTAGGGTGGCAGGTATAAAGAATGAAAGTAAACTGCATTGTGATAAGGAGTGAGTTATTAGATTTTGATTGCTAAACAATTTAGTAAAAAGCAGTTCACCTTTGAACTGTTCTTGTGACATACATTTAAATTTACAGTCCTACTCAGGCAAAATAAACTGTATTGTATTTACTGGAATAGCAATGAAGGCATTCAACAATCGCTATACAATTATTGATAAAAACATAATTGCAGAATATTGTCCTAAGTGATAGTTTTCTTTTTCTTAAAATGCATTACAAATTTTAAATACGGTACGTATGTATTTAAAAGCTGAATGGGACTATTTGGATACATAACAGAAATGAAGTTTGAAAAAATGTCATTGTACCTCTGCTTGTTTTTTGGCAACCTTCTGGAAAAGTTGGCAAAGATAAATAATCAGAGTGGGTTCACCAGTGTCCTCAAAAAGCTGCATCAGAGCTCTGAAGTGATCTTTTAGTGCCTTAGGATTGCTTGGATAAATTTCATTTATTGCAACTGCAGAAACAAATATAGATATTATTATGAAGATCATCTCTTTCTCATGCTCCCTGTAAACTTAAATATTTAATTAAATATACATATATATGTATATATATATATATATATATATATATAGAGAGAGAGAGAGAGAGAGAGGGAGAGAGGGTGAATTTACAACAGCCATTATCAATGACAGGTGCAAAACGTCTTATATGCTTGTGGCTGACATGAACCGGCTGTCTCAGAAGATTCCCCTGTATAGAGTGAGTGATTTCTATCATGAGTGGTGTGTACTAGCTCACACCTCACAACCATTAATTACAACCAGATCATTCTTTACTCAACGGCTTGATCATTATTCACTTACTTAACAGTTGTGAATTCTCCTTCTCCAGATAAACAGTGATTATTTTGTCGAGGTAAGGGGCCACAACTTTCTGCCCCGATGATGCTTGTCCGTACATGTTGAGGTAGACACCAGTCAACATAACAACACTCTCATCATCTGCATCCAAACATTTGATTAGATCTGGGACCAGGGCAGCTGTGACATCCATCTTGTTTAAGGCCTGGACCTATTAAGTTTGTAACTAATTTGAATACTTCAGAAACGAAAGTTTTGATGGGAAGATTCCCACATTCAACAGAAAGTAGGTCAGAGAAAAAAAAATGAATGTGATATTTTTATTATTGTTTTAATATTTATATATTGGTATTGACCTTGGGAGCCATTTGTTGAAGTGTACATAGCTACTTCATTTTCTTGCGAAGATGGAAGGATGCCATGATATATGTATATTAGTATTCATGATAAGTGATTAATTTCATTTTTAGAAATAAAGTTGAATGTGATTATTATTGTACTTAAATTGGCAAATCTATCAGCATCTAAAGAACATTTGGCTAAGCTATTTACATGGAATGATATAAAGGAAGGTCAAAATACATGAAAAGAGTGACATTAGTCTACAATTTAGATATTTTACTATTGCCTGTGTCTCTTAAAAATGTTTTACCCCGCATAGCACAAATAACATTTAATTTTCAACAGGTTATAAATGTTTATTGCATAAACTGCTGCATAGTGGTTGTTCTATAGTGATAGACCAGCAGTGATTACTATCATAATCCTCTTAATTCTTTAATTTCTTACCCAATTGAGAAGAGGTTTAATGACATTCAAAAATATTGAAAAATAACCAGAAGGAAATTGGCCAGTTTCAGGGTTAACAACATCATACTGGAGACACGTCTGGCAAATGGATGTAAACACTATGAACTCTTCATCTGTGAAAACTTTACCATCTCTGCAAGAGCAAAAAAATATTAAAATAATTTATTCAAATGTGTAATTAAAATGAAAATTATTGATTGAATGAAACGAATTTCAACCCCTTATTTTAAAATTTTAACTTGGAAAGTTTTCGCTTCTTCTGAAACGTAGCTGTGTTACATATGAATTATGTAAATTGTAGGCCTGCATCTTCTAAGCTTTTCTTTTTAAAGAAGTGCACGCTTGTTTTTTCCTTAAAACATCTGTGCCAAACTTAGGTTTTTCAAGAATTATAAAGTGCTATTTTTTTGTTTTTTTTTACACTGTGAAAAATAACAATTTTGTTTTTAGTTGTAAAATTATAGTGATTTATTATCAGCACACTTCATCATTTATAGATCAGTCAATTCTTTTTTATAAATATAAACCACTAAAGTTTAATTGGTCTTGAAAATTAATAATTATTTTTACTCTTAAGTTCTTAACATTTTCTTTTCATCAGCTTTTAACCAAATAATTTAAAACAATGGATAAAAGAAAGTTTAAAATTTATCATATTAAAGTTTTTTAGTTTGTTGTATTTTTGTCTTTGGTTTTGCCAATTTCTGTGTATTTTTCATGAATCAAATGTTTAAATAATATGATTGCTTAAATTTTTTTTAAAACTTTCTTAAATGGTTCCATGGCTGTATTCAGAAAATCATTGGCAGCTCTCTGTAAGGGCCAGCTTGTCATCCATGGGCGATCTTCATCTTTTAGTAGTTCATGAAACTTTTTGACTGCTTCAATCATGTCATTTTTATCTTCCTGAGAAAATAATCAATTATAATTAAAATATAGTTTCTTTAATTAATTTTTACAAGTTGTAAATTTAAGTTATGCACATGATACATCTAATTTAAGATCTTGAGAACATGGAATCATAAGAAGTTCACTTTTTAAAATGATGGCACAAATTTTGGTTTTGATATGATACAATCTTTTAAAAGGTGAAATAGCAAGTAAAGAGAGATTTGATGGCTCAGAGAATAACATGAGCGTCATTGAATAATGTCCTTATGACAAGTAAGAATCATGTGAGTAATATTGGGTAAAGTTAAAATGAACCGTAGTTCTATCCAGAAGTCAGTAGTATTTAATCAAGAAAATTATTTGAGTGGGTGGACTTCATTTTGGTAACCAAACTTTAGGAGGGACGCTGCTATAGTGTTTAGTTTGAATTAAAGACATTCAGAGTATGGCAGTATTAGTAGTTTAAATGAATGGCTTGACTTAATGGAATTAGTTCATTTGTGAGTGTTAGTGTAAGAATAGACAAACATGTTTGACAAATAATTAACAACTTTGAATTTTAATTAAGTAATGATACAATTTCTTGAAACATTACAATTTAAATCCATGAAAACATGTATTCATCTTATAGACAAATCATTTTTAGGGAAAATATCCATTTTAAAATAATTAAATAATTGATTAACTATGATGAAATTCCACACACACAAAATTTGACTTAAAAACTGTGGTCAGTGACTAAAACCTTTATATTTAGTTCTGTTTTTTCAGCAATGGCCTCAGCAAGTTCGAAGAGTACTTCGTGTTGTGTTGCCATAAATTTAAGACTGAGTTTCATCATTCTTTTGCTGTATGATTTTATCATCTTGTCCTTTCTGTAAGTGAATAATTATAGTTATATTAGGCCTATTAATATATGACTTGACAAATTTTTAAAGTTTCAAGTTTAAGGTCAGGTGAGAAATTAAATTGATGAAAATACAACTTGAAACTCAGACTTTGTTTCTAATACTGTATGTCTATTGCAAAAACTGTGGTTTTGGGATGATAAAATATTTAATTAAAAAAATAAAAGTCATAAAATATTATTATAAATTCTCTAATTAAGTTAAATAAACTTAAGTAATAATAAAATATTTTTATAAGACAAAGGCATTTTCATTTTCATACAATTATATGATGTGTTGAATTATATCTTATAGTTATATTGTGATGCCTAAGAACATTTCTTAAATATAAACATGCCACACTCATTCACCATGGCACATTTGTTAACTTACTTCAATCCATCAAAGAAGTATTCAAGTGATCGTTTATAATAATCCAGAAATTCTTTAATCTCTTCTTTTTCTTTTTTGCCCAGTCCATCAACTATCTCAGGAGCTTGAAATGATTCAACCAACTCACATATCTGATCGGCAAAATCTGCATTTTCCTGAATGGACACATCCAAATAGAAATTGATGGAATACAGAACATTAAGATATGAAAAAATATATAATGGATTTTAAAAATGCTATTGGTTAATTAATACAAGTATTCATAAGAAAACATACCCAGTAAATGCAATATGAAGATAGGATGAAATGCATAGATTAAAAATCTTAAAATAAATGCTATAAATAAATTAGTAAGATTTTTTTTTATCTTCCCTTAAATAATTATAAATGGTAAATTATTATATAAATGAGTCTTTTCAAGGGTTAATTAAAATTAATAACATGCACCTTCCATTTTAACATTTTGTTTTCACTTGTAATGGTGTAACATGCTCTTGCTGTGTTCTCACAAGGGCGCTTGTATAGTGGAACCAGCATTTCTAGCCAGGATCTTGACATCTGTTTGTTACTGAAATAGTCAAACTGTCATGATACTTAACAGTGCATTCTTTAAATTGTCTTAATGAGCTAAATAAATAGAATTAAAACAAACTTATTTTTATTTCATAAATTTTAATAGTGTTGTCCTTAATGTAGACTAATAGGTAAAAATCTGAAATGACAATGTTTTATTAATGATAAGATATTATTCTAATTCCAAAGACACCCCTTCCGTCTTGTTACTCACTTTCGGTAAACCAATTTCAAAGCATCATCCACAACTATATAAACAAATCTTGGCTTGATGAGAAAACGCATTTCCATTCCCTCCAGTACGTTGATGAATTTCTTTACAATATTGGTAAATGTTTCAGCATTTTTCTGTATAGAAAAATTTTAAGTAAGCAATCTTTTAAGTCTTTATAGGTAATACAATCATTTTAAAAACACATTTAATTTAACTTGGCATGAAGTATGACACTGATATTTCATCGAGCACCTCCCCAGGTGGCAGATAGGGGAAAGCCAACCAGATATGGTGGGTACTCTGGAAATAAAATATCTGGGGCAGACTGGAAGTGGAGGGATCCACAAAGGCTAGGGAAACTTACCCGAAAATTAAGGCAGCTACCTAAAGAGCTGTAAGGGGCAGCTCCCCAGATGGTTGTGTGCAGGACTAACAACCCGGAAATGTAAAAAAATTGACCTATGCATGGATATGGATACATAGGAGTAGGAATGATCAATACATTGATCATGGGCCCTCAAAATATAGAAGAAGAAGATGATGATCTTTGGATTGCGAATTGGAATTTACTAAGCCTGTTTAGAGCAGGAGCCTTAGCCAACCTAATAGATCAACTAATGAAACATAATATAAAGTCCCTATAGCTGCATTGCCAGAAATTCCATGGAAAAATGCAGACATCCTCACGACAATAGACTACACAATATTTTATAGCAGCAACAAAAATAACACTCTTGGCTCTTGGAACAGGATTTGCTGTGAAGAAAGAAGCTGTCAGTGCAGTCATAGGTTTTAAACCAGAGAATGTTGTATTAAACATTTTTCTTTCATTTTGCATGTGGGAAGAAAAATATTTAAAACAACAGTTATAAATGTTCATGCTCCAAACAAAGAAACAGAAGGTCAGATAAAATAATCCTCTAATGAGACGCTGGAAAAGATCTATGATGAGGCACCACAAAATGATATTAAAATAGTAATTGGCGACTTCAATGCCCAAATAGGGAAAGAAAAAGTGTTTATGCCAACTATTGGCGAGGAGAGTCCACATGAAGAATTCAATGACAATGGGATCTGACTCATTGACTTTGCTTCAAGAAAAGAGATAACAGTTAGCAGCATCATGTTTCCACACAAAAATATACATAAAGTTACCTGGAACACAACAGATGGATTCACTCACAACCAAACTGACCATGTTCTAATTGATCGTAGACATGGATCATACATACTAGACATAAGAATCTATCGAGGAGCAGATGCAGACCCTGGCCATCTACTTGTAAAGGTTAAATATAAGCATAGAATAAGCTTAATTCACAATGGCTGAAATCAAAGAGAAAAGCGATATGATTACCAAAAACTTCAACAGAACCACTAACCAACCACAATGAAGTGGAATCAATAATAGAAATATCACAGGAGGAAGTAAACAGGTAATACAACATAAATGAACAGTGGGATATGATAAAAATGCTATAAAAAAGATCAGCAGAAAAAGTAGTAGGATTTGAGCAAACTAAAGAAGTAGAGTATGCTGGTATTAAATTGAATGCAGAGAGACTTTCGAAGAAAGGAACAAGGCACGAATGACCATGATACAAAGGGAAACTAGAAAGACAAGACAAACATACAAGGTTGCAAGAAGGAAAGCCACCAAAATGTGTAAGAATTAAAAAAAAGGGAATGGGAAAAGTAAACTTAAAGAAATAGAAGACTTAGCAAGAGAGGGAAATATTAGAGGAATGTCCATGATGAAATGAATGAATACCAAGCCAGACCTCAAATATTGTGTGAGAGCCATGATGGAGAATTAATTATGGAAAATAGTTAAGTACTGGAGAGGTGGGCTGAATATTTTGAGTGCATAATAAATGCAGATAATGGACACGATGTAGATGATCAACTACCACATGGAGGATAAGACCCTTTAATAAACTCCCAAACTTTGAAAGAAACTACAGAGGTAATCAATTCTATGCAAAAATCATAAAGCCCCTGGAGAAGACCTCCTCACAGCGGAACTTATTAAATATGGAGGAAGAGAACTACACACTCAGACACATAAACTTATAACTTAAATTTGGCATGAAAAGAAAATTCCAACAGATTGCGACACAGCACTAATAACCCAAATACACAAGAAAGGTTATAAACTTCAAGGCACAAACTACAGAGGAATTTCCCTATTAAATGTTATATACAAAATACTGAAAAAATTAACCAAAAAGACTACAACCGTACACTGAACAAATACTAGGTGACTACCAATGTGGATTCAGACAAAACAGATCAACTACTGAGCAGATTTTCACCATCACATACCTATTAGAGAAATATTACAAATTTAATATCCCAGTACATCAACTCTATGTGGACCATAAAACAGCCCATGACAGCATCAAAATAAAACATGATACTCTGAAGGAGTTTGGCATATCCAAAATACTGACAAGACTTATACATGTAACATTAAGCAACTCAAAAAGCAAAATCAAGGTTCAAGGAGAATATTCAAGAGAATGTCAGATTAGATGAGGCCTAATAGGAAACTCACCTTTTGGTATGCTATTCAATCTAACATTAGTGATCGTTAAAAGAAATTTACATATTGACACCAGAGGAACGATAACGGGATACTTTCTGAGAGAAACCCAAGACCCACAACCAATAGACACTCTAAAACCAGCCCCTTCAGTATCTTGCATATGCTGATGATGTAGCACTTAAAGGGAAAAGTATTGTCATATTAAAAGCCTTTATTGACTTAGAAGATGCATCTTTACAAGCAGAGCTGGAAGTTAACAACCAAAAAAACAAAATACATGACTATGTTAAGAGAAGAACAGACAGATGAAACCACTAAAATTAGAAACAACATTTTTGAAAGAGTAAATCAATTTAAATAACTAGGATCTTTATTAAAAGAAAGAAATTAATTACTAACAGAAATAAAAGAATGAATATCTGCTGGAAACAGGGCATACATACTTCAGTGTCAGAAAATACTCAAAAGTAAAAACAATGCAAGAAAAACAAAGAAAACTATATATAATACCAGTTGTAAAATATGCAAGTGAAACTTGGACCCTAAAAAAATGGCAGAAAACCTAGTAGGCACATGGGAAAGAAATTTTTTCCAGAAAATATATGGCCCAAAGAAGGATAAATATGGATGTAGACTTCTAATCAACCATTAATTGTATAGTCTATATTAGGATCCCACCCTAATAGCAGAAGTAAAAAAGGGAAGGCTGCACTAGGTGGGACACTTAGAAAGAATGCTAAATGACAGAGGGGTGAAGAGGGTGCACCACCAAAACCCTAGAAGAAAACGGCTTAAATGCAGACCTGAGCTTAGATGGATGGATGATGTGGAAAAAAGATCTACAGCAGCTGGGAATCCAAGCATGGAAAAGAAAAGCATTAGTTAGGTCTGAGAAGAAGGAAGCGGTGAGTCAGGCCAAAGCCCTACATGGGCTGTTGTGCTGCAAGGATGGATGGATGGAAGTATTTCAGTTTGTTTCAACACATCAAACTGAACATTTTTCTAGGTTCTGATTTTCCACCAAAAAAAAGAGCAATATTATGATGCACAGCTTTACCTGCCAAATAAACTGCAAAGTATTTGACTTCATGCTTGCCACAACAGCTCAAGATATGACTTGATTATAAAAATGTTGAATCCATTATGATAATTAATATATGAAATTTTTGTAAGGTTATATAGAAGTTATTGCTTGGTTTTTAATGCATCCATGAAACCTTTATTTGATGTTAGAGAAAGCCTGACATCTGACTCAATATTCTTAAAAGTCATGGTTTTCAACTTTTTTTTTTTGTTTTTGCTCTGATCCATATATTAATTGTTACCTGTACTAATGAATTTATTTTTAATGTTTCTCTTAAAACAACAACAAAAATCATTCTTTATTTAAACAATTTGTTTGGAGCTGCCCTGTTTGTTTTATATGTAATTTGTATTACACATTACACTAATATACACTTAGAAACTTTTTTTTTAATTAAGCATTTCCCACATAAACTAACCGAAAATGGTTTGCCTTCAGCTTGTGTATATCTGAAGAAATTTGTAACCGCACTTAGTAAATCATAAATGTATTCCTCCCCTTCTTCTTTATAAGAACATTTTGTAACAGCAACAACCAAATCAAATGCATCAGCATAAAGATCTTCCAACAAATTACGCTTTCTGAAATAAAAATGAAACATACAATTGATTGTAGTATCACAAACATCTAAATATTTTAAAACTTTCCACTGAATTAGCTAATATTTAAAGAAAGACCCAAAAATCTGTATTTCTGAGAAATTAAAATGCTTTACATGTTTGACATGAATCGATTAAGTAATTTGAATTTAACTGAGGTATCATCATCTCAATAAAAGCAGATTTATGAGTACAAAAAGTTTCCATCAAAAAAAAATGTGATTTTATAAAATATCTTTAAAACATTACAATATGAGATGATAATTATAAGAAATTGTTTCAAATGATCTAAAATAATACTATGGCAAATGTTTTGACTAATAAAACTATCAGAATTAAAATCATTCATACCCTAACGCTTCCATCATTTTCCCCATTAATTCTTTGCTATATCTCGCAGCTGATTTATGAGGAGCAAATTTAGGATCTTTAAATACGACAGAGCATTTTCTAATGTAGGATTTGATTTTCTCCAAGTCACTGTAGTGCTGCAATAAAATAAATTATCTGGTGATCTTCATCTTTATAAATCCAATACCAAAGTAATGAATGCTTATTTTACCAAAAAATAATATTTACACAATCTAGGAAGTATAAAAAAAGATATTTTCACTGAATAACATGAATCTGGTGTTATGAATTCTTGATGACAATAATCCTCTATCTACGGGTTTCATTCGAAGAAATCTGCGCCACTGCCCAACATCCTGCAAATGAAATGCCTATTTCCCACTCGTCCGTCCTCTACTAGAATATGGTGCGATAATCTGGAACCCATACCTAAAGCAAGACATGGACAAAATGGTGCGAATACAATGCAATGCAGTGCGCTTCATCGCAAGTGACTACTAATCCACCACTCCTGGCTTCGTCACTGACCTTTTAAAAAGATTTGACATCCCCTCCCTCAAAGACAGATGCGAAATGCTCCGTCTAACATTTCTCTATAAAGTGGTCACGGGGCTGGTGCCGGCCAATTCAGCTAACATGTATCTAACCCTGCAAAAGCCAGGTCGCTTAATTAGAGCCAAATGCTCAATAAACACTGACTTCACCTCTGACAACTCCATGAGCCGTTACATCCGGAACAATGATAAATGCTTCACTGTGCCTCGGTGTAACACAGTTCAATATAAACAATCATTCTCCCCACGAACAATAATTTCTTGGGACCAACTGGACAATGCCGCCGTGGACTATTCATCAATCGAGAGTTTCAAGGCTGCCCTGGCACCCGATAGGAGCGGTTAGAATAGCCACATCATTTCCCAAACTGTTACACATATGCCAGTACTTGGTTGCAGCAACGTAGTCTATCAGAATCAGAAACTGGTACCATGTTTTCTATAATATCTTTAAAATGCTGCTTAATTAAGTTAATCTGTCCACTTTTTCATGCGGTCATACTTTAATAACCATTAGTATATGAATAGATCAAGTACTAAGGCAAAGACTTCAAAAACCGGAGTATATTAGTGGAAACCATAAACTTTTTAAGCAACAATTTATAAATTTATCCTGTTTAGACAGGGTCTTATGTCTCAGTAACACTACGGTTTTAATCATTAAGATACTAAATGATAAATGCATTATGGTAAATTATAGATAAATTTCATCAAACTAGGATGGCTTTTTTACACATCTACCAATATCAATTTAACTTGTGTTTGGTAATATTGATGTTTCTTTAATGTTTAAAATGTGTTGGTTTTTTGTTTTTTAATTTTTTAATGATATCAATGATTGCTTCAGACATTTTTTCCCATTGACCTCAATAAATATTCAAAGCCATTGACCCAATTTTTTTTGTCTTTTGAAGCCATTGATCCCAGAATTTAATTTTTTTGAAGCCAAGAATCCCAGTTATTAGTCTGTTGAAGCCATAGTCCCTGACTGATAGTCCGAGGAAACTGGCGATCTTAGATGGTAAACAGTAAACTATTGAAAAAATTGATCTTACTCAGTCTGTTGATGTGTATGATCCCAGTTTGTAGTCTAGTGGAGTTTATGATTGCCTCAAGATCAAATATTTTAGATTGTGAATTTGAAAAAAATAATTTGTTCACATTTTCAAATCCACTGAAGCCTTAGCCTTAACATTAATCACTTAAAAGGTTTGTCAACTCAAATTATGCTCTACAGAAAACACTGATAATATCATAAATATGACTAAGAATAAAAGCTAACAAGTAAAATTAGTTTTGTGAAGGAGTACTTAAGACTTAATAAATTTTACTTTAAAGCCAAGTCAATTACACCATAAACATAGACATAGATAAAACAATCATAAAAAATACAACGATTTAATCCTAATACTTAATAGTCTAATATTCAATGTCCTTACTGAGAATGGATTTTTCAAACATTCCATTACAACTTTCCCAGTGTCAACAAGTCTATTGTAAACATCCTCTTGTACTTGTAAACACCCAAGGTACAGATGTACAGCAAAGTCCAACAGTGTACTAAAGGCATCTTCAACTTGAGATAAGCTGAAAAAACAAACAATATATCCTTTGCAAAGTGACAGGAATAGGAAATATAAAATAAGAATTTTTTATATTTCTGTGTAAGTGTAAAATTTCCACTAAGATTCCCATTTTTTTATTAAAATAATTTTAAAAATTTCTGTTTGAAACACTGCCAAAACAAAAAGCATGAGGCTGGAGGTCCTGCTGTTATTGTTATTTTTTGGATTATCAAATTCAAATATGTATTATTTTAACCCTGGTCCCTGGTATAAGTAGGGAATTAAATGTATTAATTTTATAGAAATATTAATAGTAATTTAAATATTTATATTATTAATTAGTTAATTATTATTTATTAGATTAGTAATTTTTTACCTTAAAGTCTCCTTTAACAGCTTCCTCACAAACTGTAAGTATGTATCACCAAAATTCCTGCCTTCAACACAATCTTCTTCTTTTAGATCCTTGCAAACCACCAACAGCAACTTTTCCAGTTTCAGCTTGTCAAATTCCTTTTTGTTTTAAAAATAAGAAAGTCTTTAACTTTTAATTGTAAAGAGAATAATTAGGCCTCCCTAGACTAAATACAAAAATTTCGCAATTTTGTGGTAGTGCCTAATTAGGAAATAAAGTATAAAGATAAAGATTCTACTCGCATATAAAGTTATTAAAGGCCAGCTTTTTTTTATCTTTTAAAATTAATTAATTATTCTATTTTTTAAAAAAAATAGTTTTAAATAACGTGCAATGCAGTGATTTTTTTCTTAAAGTGAGTATAAATAGACATTGAATTATCTTAGAATTTTTTACTCCATCCGGAAATAAATATAATATGTATTTAATTTTATTTCTCATATTTCTCGCCCTCTCCCCTCCCCTGAAACCACCACCATCAAGGGAAAAAAAATTAAAAAAATAATTTTTAAAAGTGCAGGATGTCGTTACCATCCATGCGCGTTCCTGCAGGAGGCAAGCCCTGTTTTAATAGCTAAGTTATGTGGACTTTATAATAGCATGAGACGGTTAGTGACTGTAAACTCTAGCCTATTACTTCTTCTCATAGTGAGGTGGTGTCATAGGTTTCCGTGGAGCATTTGGCACAGGCCTCTCATTTCAAAGAGGCATCAAATTTACACTTTAACTTATTTATAAACAATCGTACGATATGTATAAAGTCTTAGAACTTGACAGTCTATAGTCTATATACAAATGTTAGTTTAGTTAATTTTGAATTTGATACCAATTAAGTTCTGATATTAGCAATGTATCCGAGACTAACTAACACAGAAAGGATACGGTAATTTTATCAAATAATATTGAAACCAGGGCAAAAAGTTCAAAATGACCGGGACCAGGCTTCTAGCCCGGAACGATCCAGGTAAAACCACCCCACTGTTTGAATGAGATCGCCAGCTTGTCACGAAAGAGGCATTTCCAAAATAAGTTGTTTCTTTTTATTGCTAGTTAATTGCTATCAGCATTTTTTAAGTTACCCAGATATTAAGCTTGACTATACCGGTATTTAATAATTAATACTTAATACACTTTTTAGCATAAACGTTAAGTCTAACTGCAATCTATCAGTTCTTCTCGCAAGCCAGGCTCTACTTGACTGACGTGAGCAAATGACAACAACGCGATTAGTTCAGATGGGTGGATTGAAATTAAATATTATTTTTGAGCATCGACTGACGAAAGGGCCACAAAAAGAGCCAGTGTTTACAATTCTCCTATTTATCAAGTGATTTTGGAAGGTCCACACGAGAATGTCTCACAAAACAGAAAGTATGGGCCTACCTGTATGAAGTCTTTGAGGCCGAGGTCATGGTCTTCTATGCATTTGAAGGCAATATCGAAATGAAGTGTGTTGAATTTGTTGTCGAGGAGTCGCACAAAAAATGAGTTAAATGCCGCCCTCATATCTTTGATCACAACTGCATTATCTCTCACAAGACTTCTGGAAATTTGAGTAAATTATCTATTAGCCCAGCGGTTCTCAACCTTCCTAATGCCGCAACCCTTTAATATGGTTCTTCATGTTGTGGTGACCCCCAAACATAAAATTATTTTCATTTTGCTACTTCATAAATATGTGTTTTCCGATGGTCTTAGGTGACCCCTGTGTCGCGACTCACAGGTTGAGAACCGCTGTATTAATCGTAAATTTAGCTGTTACTGTTAATTATTAATTGGGCTACCGGCGTACCGGTATGTGTTTCAACTACTGAATAAACAAAACAAACAAATATTATTAAAACGACGGGACCCATTTCTTAATCGATGTTATTGTAGGGTGTAGTTCATGTCGCTCATTTGTATCATCCCTTTCATCAATATAAATATAACCCTGCGACCCTGACTGTAAAAGAAAAATAGTTATCTCCTTTTATTTGCACGTTCGCTTAAGTTCATTGAATGTCGCACATTTTACTTACATAACGGTAAGAAACTAAAAATTAAATTTGATATGCTCATCGATCAGTTCTCATACGCTAAGTCAAATTGTAATAGGTAATGAATGTTATATTTGCATGTGCGCTAGTGTGTTTACTGACATATAGGATATTTTTTTCATTAACGCTTCAATAAAGAATAGATTTTCTACGAGCCATCTTTGTTAGCCTTGATTTAAATTATTATTTTTTTCTATCAATGTTAATTAAATAAGAGAATAGGTTTCTCATGGTTAACAGGGGCGCCGTTTTATTTCTTGGCGTTGTTGCCACATGTCCTCAGTACTCCTCTGGTTAGGTCAAGTATTTTAGGAAGTTTTTGTGTGGCCTGTTTCCTTAAATCTTGCTCACTATGCTGGGGAATCTGGAAACATTCAAACAGGGACATTGACAAGGGCAGCAAAGCCCGGCCGGCCTAGCTGGTAAAGACAGCCGTTTTTTTTTACTCCAGTTGAGTCTTTAACTACACCAGTGGAGATGCGTGGAATTAGAAAAGAATCAACTACCCCCCCCCCAACCCCGATTTCCCCACCACCACCTCAACACACACTCGCACACACAATCAGTGCTAATTGCTATGAAAATATCAAAATCTTTGGGTGTGGATCTCCGCAAATCAGAGTGTCAGACTAATCTTGTAATTTGCCAAGGGAGATCACCATCAACTGCGTTTAGCTAAATGAATACTACCACAAAATATTTACTGAATGACTATTTTAAGTAGGACGTGGATTGTGGATGTTGTGGGGTAAGGGGGTGTCTATTAATTACGTCAATAAAATAGGGAGGGGAGGGGTGGTGGAAATATTTGACAGTTGTTGACAATGGGATTTGGGTGGGGGGTGGGGGGGGGGGTGTTAGATTAGTTGACGTCAACAATCATGTTTTTTTTTTCTATTAAAATGTTAATCTTAAAAATGGACTGGTTCTTACATTATTTTAAACAATATAATAAATGTAAATATTCATATTTTTTTAGGCTTTTAACAATATAAGAGTTGTTAGATTAGTTGACGTCAACAATCATGTTTTTTTTTTCTATTAAAATGTTAATCTTAAAAATTGACTGGTTCTTACATTATTTTAAACAATTTAATGAATGTAAATAGTCATATATGTTTAGGCTTTTAACAATATAAGAGTTATTAAACGTGTGTCGCTCTGTGCACTGCGGATGGTTGGTCTCAATGTTAGCACAATTTGTTGGTGCAAGAGAAGTCAAAAGTCTTCTTCTTCTATATTTTGAGGGCCCACGATCAATTAATTGATCATTCTGGCTCCTATGTTTCATCTCTTCACCTGTAATTTTTTTTCTTAATCCATTCCCTAGAATGATTAACACATCATTATACACGGTGTTCAATTTTTAAAAAAAACCTCAAATCATCGGTGTTCAATAACAACTAAACCAACTCAAAGACAGAGAGAGAGAGAGAGAGAGAGCTTATGGCAATTATTGCTCACACCGACAGTACTTCTATTTTAAGTGCTGAATGGTTAGATATGGATGAATTTGACTGGTCTGGTATATCAGTTCTACAAGATGAAAATGATAAATCAGATACTATAGACTATGCCCATCAGGGGCGTCATTTAATTTTTTTTTCAGGTGAAAGGAGGGGGGAGGGGCAAAACCAAAACTTGGTCGGCTTATTAAGTTGTTTATTCCTAGAGGCGCCACAGTACTTAGCAATTTAGGGGGCAAATGACCTCCTGCCCTACCCAAATGATGTTCCTGATGCCCATTGTTACGATACAGAATCACCGGGCAACTCCATGTGAAGATAATAACAGTTAGAAACTATACTATAATTGTCAGCTATACTGACAATAAACATATTTATACTTCCACAAAAAATGATATTTAGTCCATAACAATCTTTTACCTCCACCAAGGCCGGTCCCAAGCCCGGGTGCAAAAGGAGGAGGATTGGCGTGAGGCCAGCTAGGAGGAGGGTGGCGTGAGGCCAGCTAGGAGGAGGGTGGCGTGAGGCCAGCTAGGAGGAGGTGGCGTGAGGCCAGCTAGGAGGAGGGGGCGTGAGGCCAGCTAGGAGGAGGGTGGCGTGAGGCCAGCTAGGAGGAGGTGGCGTGAGGCCAGCTAGGAGGAGGTGGCGTGAGGCCAGCTAGGAGGAGGGTGGCGTGAGGCCAGCTAGGAGGAGGTGGCGTGAGGCCAGCTAGGAGGAGGTGGCGTGAGGCCAGCTAGGAGGAGGGTTGGCGTGAGGCCAGCTACCTCACCCGTAAAAACAAATTGCTACAGAAACGTCAACAAGAAAAAAAAAACAAATTTCAGTTATGAAGCCTTGTGGCCAAACCCAGGCTATACTGGAAGCCTCCAAGCCGAAGACCCTCTCTTTCTAAGGAAACAAACATAGGCACGTGGAACGTCAGAACCATGTATGAAGCAGGGAAAGCAGCGCAGGTGGCAGCAGAAATGAGATCTTACAAACGTACACTGCTTGGCATCTGGGAAACAAGATGGATACAACTAATACTGAAAGAAGTAGCTGAAAATGCAAACCAAAGTCAGAATCTTTAATACAAATGCCAAAACAGTTCTACTATATGGTGCAGAAACTTGGAAAAAAACAGTGAGCCTTATGCAGAAAGTGCTGACATTCTTAAACACATGCCTTAGAAAGACCCTGAACATCAAATGGCCTAATACTATCAATAACAAAGATCTAATAGAAAGGACACACCAGGTGCCCATTGATGAAGATATCATGAAGAAGAGGTGGAGATGGATATGGCATACGCTCCGAAAACCCCCAGATAGCACCACCAGACAAGGCCTAACATGGAACCCACAGGGAAAAAGAAAGAGAGGAAGGCCTAAGAATACATGGAGACGCGAGCTAGAGGCTGACACACAAAATATGGGATACACCTGTAAGCAATTGGAAAGGAAAGCACAGGACCATGAGGAGTGGAAAGTTCTTGTAGACGGCCTATGCCCCAGACGGGGTAAAAAGGCACAAGTAACAACCTTTTAATTGATTCTGAATTATAAAATTTAAGTATAAAAACTTTTTAACTTGTTGATTAACAAGCTAAACATAGGATTAAATGCTGCCCTAAAATTGTATGTTTCATTTAAATAGATCAGCACAAAGTAAAATGTATTTATGAATTTATTTATACTATTATTCATTTTTTTAGGGGGTGGGGTTATAAAATGTTGACATAATTAAATAAGGGGGTCATCGAAAGTTTGACAGAGGGGAGGGGGTAAAAATTGTTGACGTAATTAATGGGCGACCACTAAGGGTTGAGTTAGACTCTAATTCCTTTTGCCGCCCATATTTCGTTGTTTCTGGTTTTGTTACGTAAGTTCTCGCCCGTTCTAAGAATATGTGTCTGCCACAGAGATGACATGTTGGGCACTTTCAATTGACTAAATGTTTTCCCAATCGATAATTAAGTTGTTGATTGGCCGTAAGTTACTGTAAGTTAAGTAACCGCTAATTTCGTTGATATGATTTATATAATATATGTTGATATTGTTGTGCTCTTTCGTTTGTTGTTTCTTTGAAATTTCTTTTATGGTGATAGTAAAGATTTATTTATTTTTTTTATTAAAGAAATAATGCTCAATATTTTACCATCTACCTCGGGGTATTCATGGTGCCTCGTCGCGCAGATAAATTGACTTTACCTTAAAAGATAGAGTCCGACAACGAGGCATTCATGTGCACAATACGCTAACAGATCCCATACCCGCCAACACTGAGCAACTCCTTCAACATAAACTGAGCCTGGTCCCAGCCTCTGGTTTTGTACTCGGGTTTTGTCGAGGCGGTCAGTTTCTCCTCCAATGCATCGAGTATCTTACAAATGTCTTGCACACCTCTGCTCTCATTGTCGTCATTGTATGACCAGCTTCGCACTGCCCTGGCGAATTCCTCGTAGGCTTCGTGGTCATCGTGGACGAATGTGCTGCTTCTGACCAGCGTATCCATTTTATAGGCTTTATTTTGGGATGAGTAAGTTAAGACAAAATAGAGATGTTAAGTGAATTGATTCTCCTGGCTATACAAACTATATTCCACGTAATAAATTGTATGAATAATCAATATTACGAATAAAATCTCTAGAATGGTATTACATTATTGCATGATTTATATCTTTGAGTGAATGTGTGAAGTTTTATAAGTCGAACTACTTGACATCCTACACATCATAATCGTCAATTAGATATCAAAAATCAGTTATCATGCTAATGGAACTGAATTCAAATGCATGATTTATTATGTGCATTTATGATAGTTTTGTGCCAAGCTATAAGACAGGGCATCAGTGGTGCTCATTATTGTGTTATAAGACAGGGCATCAGTGGTGCTCATCATCGTGTTATAAGACAGGTCATCAGTGGTGCTCATTATTGTGTTATAAGACAGGGCATCACTGGTGCTCATTATCGTGTTATAAGACAGGGCATCAGTGTTGCTCATTATCGTGTTATAAGACAGGGCATCAATGGTGCTCATTATTGTGTTATAAGACAGGGCATAAGTGGTGCTCATTATTGTGTTATAAGACAGGGCATCAGTGGTGCTCATTATCGTATTCACAACATGCGAGCCGCGTGTCCCCTTCTTCTGCACAGTTAACACAAACACATAGATCAATTATACTCTACAACACATAGGTCAATTATACTCTACAGACTTGCTTAAGCCAACTTTGTAAATAATTTGACTTCTACCCTTTTTAGTTATTTTTTTTCCTCACTAAAAATGATATTATTTTCTATTTTAAAACTAAATAATGCAAAGGTTTATTATTTCATAAAGCGACAATAACTTTTGTTAACCTTTGTGCAAGTGTGAGACAGCGCTGAAATAGGTTTTTGAAAACATCAAATGCACTCAATCTAATCATGCACAGAGTAATCGTGTTCATTTTATTATTTTTTTAACGTGGTGATATTTTGTTTATAGTGCCGCTCAATCAGGACAATGCGTTAATGAAACGGACATTTTATTATGTTCCTTGTCTAAAAAAGCAACCAAATATAAGTTTTCTTACCGTCCTGTAAACCTGTGTTGCATTAAGGTAATCCAATGTAATGTGTTGACCATGTTGTAGAAACGGCACTGCCACTAATACTTGTTTTAATCGATGCAGCAAGTCTGTTTAATGGGACTGATCGATTATTGATTCCGTCCCCGCCCCTCCTCATTTTCCCCACAATCGAACTTTTATTTATTTTAAACTCCACCCCCCAAAAAAAAAAAAAATTAACCCGTTTTAGAATCTTCGTCATATATGAATTATTTTTAGCCTCAAATCCATTCATGTTATATGGATGTGTGCAATGTCATATTTATGTACAGGCAGTGGCGTCACTAGGGGAGTGTGGGCTTGAAGACTGCACCGGTTGACACACTTACAGGAGGATGACACCAAATGGAAAACGTAAATTTGACAGAGTTTCCCCGAATCGTATTCTTAACAGAACGTAATCTATTTTTTTTTAAGGGTGCCACCAAAAGAAAGTGCCCCTTGAGCAGGATGCAACAAGAATATGGTGTCAACAAAGCAGGGCGCCATTAGAACAGGGTGTCAGACAGAGCAGGATGCCATTAGAGTCGATTGCATACAGAACAAGGTGCCACATGAACAGGGTATCGGTAGAGCTGGGTGCCACCAGAGACGATTGTAACCTGTTCAGAGTGCGACCAAAGGAGGGTGCCTCAAGAAAAGAGTGCCACCAGAGAAGGATTAGAAATTACTCACAATCCTCTCACTTAGTCTCCAATTATTTATCACAATTTTGTGTGTCTGTGGTTTCATGTGAGAGGATCTTTTCAAAACGTATAAAGATCTATTTGTGATCCACCATGGAACGGTCCAGGCTTTTATGGGCTCACGATTACGCCAATGAAATGTGAAGAATGTTGATTTTGATGACGTGATGGACATGTTTTATTCTTTGAAGACCAGAATGTAAAGTTTTAGCAGTAAAGTTTAATGTTCCCATAAAAAGTAAATGTGTTTCTTTTTTTAACACTGTTAACTCAAATTCTATTTTTCTTTTCATGTGTTTCGTTGATTTAGGACTTTCCTAATTTATTGTGAGCGGTTCTGTATGATCTTGTTAAAAACTACTTTGTGCAGATCCGGGGGGGGGGGGGGGTTCCTTTGAAAAA